AAAAAAATATGAACTACACATTTTTATTTTACAGCTTGTTCTGGGCTGTTACATGGGTATACAAATGTACTGAATTGTGCCCTTAAGAATTATGCATTTCAGGGGTGCCTGGGTGGCTCAGTTGGTTAAGCGACTGCCTTCGGCTCAGGTCATGATCCTGGAGTCCCGGGATCGAGTCCCACATCGGGCTCCCTGCTCAGCGGGGAGTCTGCTTCTCCCTCTGACCCTCCCCCCTCTCATGTGCTCTCTCTCATTCTCTCTCTCTCAGATAAATAAATAAAATCTTAAAAAAAAAAGAATTATGCATTTCACCCGTTGTAAATAATACCTCAAAAACAAAAAATAACACTTTTACAGTATTTTGACATTCGGCAAAGTGTTTATCACATGTCTGCATGGATGCGTGCTTACTGCTTTTCTGTGAGGAGAGCATGCCACCAGCTTTGCTTAGACTGGAAGGAAGATTGTACAGTGCAGGTGTATGTGTGATTTTTCTTTGATGTCTGGTGTTCAAATTAAGGACAATGTAATTTTTCTCTGCCTCACATCTGTGTTTGGATTATAACTAAAATAATTTTTAAAAATCATCGATTCCAAGAAACTTGTCATGCATGTATTTTTGCTTGGTGTATTTGCCTGGGGACACCCAGACTTTACTCTGACAAGTCTCATCTTGGGGACTTCCTGTCATGGCATTTGTAAAATAAATAAAAATTTTAAATCCTATAGAGAGACTCTGCCCAGTCAGACACAGTAAATCTTGTCCGGGGCTACTCAAACCTCCCTTATTGGTAACTGAAAGAGAACATGGAGGGGGAGAATCCTTACCTTTTATGCAGAGATTTCAATGCAATTCCTTTAAAGTTGACAGAATATCAGTGGTAAATTCATATTTGTGCATGCTATAAAAATTTCCTATGCGATAAAGTATATACCATAAATAAGTGATATAAATACAGTAAAGTTAAAAATTGCTTGCAGGAACATAATAATAAAACTCATCAGGAAAGTTCCCAAGCCATGTTTGTTTCTCTTTCCAACATGATGAGAAATATGATCAGAAAGCCATAAAATAAAAGACATGTAATCATGAGACAATATTCAACTACTCAACTATACTAAATGACTAAAACTACATTAAGTGACTTTCATTAGACTCTTCTAAATGCAATGTAATAGCCATCATCTTGATCCAGGTCTGATAAGACACCTAGTTCAAGGCCAATCCTTTCTGAACATCTCCTGTGTCAGGGACATTATCAGTCCCAGACCAGTCACATATCATCAGACGTGCTGACCCATTTACTGATAGGAACTCAAGCATGTGTTTAGAGCATCACTAAATCCAAAGAACCAACACAAAGCTTAATTTGTAGAAATAGTTGGATATTTGAGACCTACAAATGTATTAAAATTATTACAGTATTTACAAATGTCATGGAATAACATCTAACTACATTATTCTGCTCTGCTCTTCAAAACATGTAAGGAAGACATCATGATTTTCCAGGTGCCAGAGCTGTAACACGGAGTGTTAATTGTGTGTCCAGTCAACAAATAGGCTATCACGTTTTATACGTGGAGAGGAAGAATTGAGCAAAGTGTGAGGGCAGGTGCACCCATGGGATTCATTCCCTCTTTGCTTAAATAACAGAGACCTTGTTAGACAAGTTAACACTGAAATTTGAGTTTGGAAAGAATCTCTGTCATTTCTGTAACAATGACAGAAGTCATTGAGCAAAGTGGTCTTTTCTCCGGGGGAAAAATACTTAATTGGGGTTATTATCTTATCAGTTTAGGCTGTAGGTATATATGATTCACCATTCAAACATTCAAATTTCATATATTAATCGGAATAGCAAATATTATAAAATACTGTCCTGAAGGTTTTGTATAATATTTTTTTACCAGAGATACATAAGTTACTTATATAAAAATATATATTTTCAGGGAACATCAAAAGAAGAGAGTTATGCCATACAAATAGATTGGAAGAGTCAACATTGATCAAAATAATCGATAAAAGCAATGTAATCACATTTAAGCTAACAAAAGACTATTTCCACAGAACAAAATAAACTGATTTCTAAATGTATGGAAAAGGGAAAGTTATATCAGGTAAGATATAATAGCATGATTAATAGAGAAAGAAAATAAATTTAGAGTTTTAATCTGCCAGATTTCAAATTTTATTTTAAAGCTATAATCATTAAAAATATGTGACAATAGAGGGCGCCTGGGTGGCTCAGATGGTTAAACGTCTGCCTTCGGCTCAGGTCATGATCCCAGGGTCCTGGGATCGAGTCCCACATCAGGCTCCCTGCTCCTTGGGAGCCTGCTTCTCCCTCTGCCTCTCTCTCTCTCTCTCTCTCTCTCTGTCTCTCATGAATAAATAAATAAAATCTTAAAAAAAAAAAATATGTGACAATAGAATGCTAGCTAAACAAATTGATCTCTGTATATGCCTATATGGTATGCACTTTTCTAACTGATTATACTTATTCATGTTTACATATAATATTACATACTCATATACATATTACATGCACACATACATGTGCATGTATACAGATATATTATGCACACGTGTGTATCCATGTATTTTAAAAGTAAAAATAAAAATATGACATTAATTTTAATAATATATCTAAACTACTCCAAAGTATCGTTACTTAAACATGTAATCAACATAAAAACACTAATGAGATATTTTACAGTCCACCTTTTCTATGAAGTTTTGGAAACAAAGTAGGTATTTAATACTCTCCAACACATCTAAATTCACATCAGCCACATTTTTATTGCTCAATAGCCACATGTGGCCGGAAGCCACTATATTGAAGAACACATTTCTAGTGAAACTCTAGCTCGTGTTCATAAGGAAAGACTGAACAAAATGTTTACTGGTGCATTCCTTTTGAGAAAAAAATAATTTAAGACATTCATAATATCCAACAATAGGGAGCCAGATTAAGAAAATATCATGTAACATATGACAGGACCAACAAAGCAGTTTTCTTTTTCCCTAAAATCTAGCCTATACTCATAAAGATACAAATCTATCAGCCCGGGGTCATACATTATAAATTCAAGCAATGCTTCTTCTCAGGGAAGGTGTATAGGAATTGTTCTGGGATAGAGAAAAAGAACTTCACCATTCTAAGAACTATTTTATTTTATTGATTCAAAATAAAATTGAGCAAGTAATTTGATAAAACAATAATGATTTCAAGTCCTGGTTATTTGAAGGTTTATTGATTTATTTGAGAGAGAGAGAGAGCAAGAGAGGGAGAGGGAGAATGAGCAGGGGGAGGAGCCGAGGGAGAGGGAGGGAGAATCTACAAGCAGACTCCCTGCTGAGTGTGGAGCCCGATGCAGGGCTCTATTTCAGGACCCTGAGATCATGACCTGAGCCAAAACCAAGAGTCAGCTGCTTAACCAACTGAACCACACAGGTACCCCTCAAGTCCTGGTTATTGGGAACAGTATTCTTCATATCTTATTACATTTGCTATTTTGTGAATTTTAAATATTGCTTGTCATATATAAACTTTACTTAATATGGTTCTCTAGAAATTAGTATAGGATCCATTCAATTTCATTGCTTCTTCTGACACCACCACATCAATATAACGGTCACTATCATTATTTTATCTGATAATAATCTATTCAGAAAGAATCCAGTGTTGATTTTTTTTAAGGGTAAACATTGCAAAAATAATCTATCAGCTCTGAGGAGTAGAAATGAGGATTTACGGGAACAGGAAAAATTTTCTTCATCTCCTGTATATAGTTTCTTTTCCTAACATTTAAAATTTTACCATATGCACGCATTTAAGTTTAAAGCTAATTGAAAACTATTTAATCATATTTCATAATCACAGGCAATTGGGATTAAAGCTTCCAAACACATTTTTGATCTGTAGAGAAATGTTAATTTTGATTTATTTAGATTTTTCCACACTTAGATTCACAAAGACAAACAATTTTATTTGAGCTAATGAATCTAATTTGCCTTAATGAAATAAGAAACTATAATAAATGTGCTAATAATCAATCAGGAAGTCCTAGAATAAAAAAGATGTAATAAATACCTAAGTTACTACCAAAAAGCATTGCCAAGAAGAACATAACTCGTAACTTTTTCCCTTTTTTCCTGTAATGTCCAAGTGAAGGAAGATCACTTCAAATACCATCATAGATCTACCAACAGAGATTTCAAATGAAAAAGCAAGTATTTATAGTACAGTATATTTTAATTTGTTTTCCTACCAATCAACACGTTGCTGTGCCATCACCCAGCTGCCTCCACTCGGTTTTCCTCGGCCCTGCATTATCATGAAGCTTTACATACATTTTAGGTTTTCTCTTACCCCAAATCAAGGCTATATTTGCAAGAAGTTGCATCTAAATGACTCATAAAAGATATGCAATTAAACATGCAAAACTGATTACTGCATGGAATTGCCGCTGAAAGCATAACATTTTAGTGCAAACTTAGCATGATTTGAACACTTAACAGTAAACTGTCACAGCAACTGAACTCAAGGCTTTCCCGGGCTGTCAAACCGTTCGGCGTCCAACTCTGCAAACTAAACTGTGTCATCCAGCGAAAATTTACATATTTAATCATTAGGTGTGGCGGCCACAAGCACATACAAGAATTGCAAGGACAAACTGGAAGGGGCTATGTCGAAAATTGTTTGGAAAAGGGGAGGAGAGGACAACCCACCCACCCCCAACACTGCAGAAACATTCATGATAGAGCTGCTAAAACAGTGTTTTCCAAATTGTGACCTTTCTTTTCTTCTTTTTAAAAAACTTTTCCAGTTTTATGAAGGCAGATTTATTCATAAAAACTGTATACATTTGGGCTGTACAGTGTGATCTTTAAGGTGTACGAGGGGATGACTTAATTTATGTATATGTTGTGAAATGATTACCACAATTGAGTTAATTGGCACAACATTCCTGTGACCTTTGGAACACGAGCAGCTTACCAGAGCTCATCCGGGGCAGGCAAGGGTCTGCAGATACACCGACGGGACCGGAGCAAACCCTTCAAGTTTGGGGGATAGCCCATGCTGACCGCAGCCGAAGAAGATTTTCATTTTTTCCTGCATTAGGCGAAGATAGGTAGATAGTAGGAAGAGATGTGAAACTAACAGTGACTGGAACTTCTCAAAGTCAAGAAGCACATCCTCCAATTTTATGAGGCGAATGAAGTCAAGGATAAGTAGTAACTAACACCAGCCACCTGTGAAAAAGTGATAAAAAGCCGGGCGAGGTGGTTTAATTTCACTCCATCAGTACAGTGCTCACCTAAGCTATATGGTATTCCCTACTTTATTTCTTCTTTTTTAAAGGTTTTATTTATTTATTTGACAGAGGGAGAGAGCACAAGCAGGGGGAGCAGGAGAGGGAGAAGCAGGCTCCCGCCGAGCAGGGAGCCCGTTGAGGGGCTCGATCCCAGGACACTGTGATCATGACCTGAGCCGAAGGCAGATGCTTAATGACTGAGCCACCCAGGAGCCCCTTAACCACTATCTTTTCAAATACTTAGTTTTCTGCCATAATCTCTTTCTCTCCTCTCTTTATGGAGTTCCTGTTACAGTCTTTTTAGATATTTGGATATTGTCCAAAAGTTCCATGAGAAAGCTGTTCTCTTATGTTTTCTTTTTTTTTCAACATTTTCTTTTTCTGATCATATAATTTCCATTAATGTATCTTTGTGATATTAACTTTTTCCTCCATTAAACCTCTTATGGCCTGAATTGTGTCCCCCCAAAATCCCTGTGTTTAAATCTGAATCTCTAGCACATCAGAATGTGACCTTACTTGGGAATAGGGTCTTTGCAAATACAATTAAATTAAAATGAGATCATTAGGGTGGGCCCCAATCCAATATGACTTGTCCTTATAAAAAAGGGAATTTTGTTTACCGACTCACATATAGGGAAGATGAAGTCAGAGGTAGGGGTAGTAATTAATGTTTATTCAACAAATTCAGAAGGATTCAACATTGAAAATTTTTCAGATATGTTTCCACTTCTAGAATTTTCTTTTCACTTGTATTTATATGTTCTATCTTCCTCCTGATATATTCTTACCTTCTCACTGATGGCAAACTTATTTTTCTTTACAATATGAAGCATAGCTAAAAATACATGTGTAAAATCCTAACCTGATAATTCCAACATCTGGGTTATTGCGTTGCCAATATCCGTTGTTTTTTTTCTTGAGAATAAGACATGTTTTCCTATTTATTTTAGATCTAGTAATTTAAAATTATATCTTGTACTTTAAGGTCAGAATACATGACTCCCATCTCCTGCTCTGTTCTGGGTGCTGCCCAACCCCTTGCAGTATCTGTGGTTTTCTCCACCTTTCTCCTCCGCTTTTTTAAGCCCCTCTGATTGTGAATATCCTACCAGAATTTTAGCTGCTACATGTGAAGTCAACTGCAGTGTGCCTTCAGGCTAAAAGCTGCTGAAGATAAGCTATTCACCTTCTGTCTTTCTGTTCTTGAAAATTTCCACTTCGTTTTAGAATCTGCCTGCTTATATTCACATTACAGTAAGTTCAGATTGGTTTTTTTTCCCCTCCAGAGTGTATAGTTATCTTTTTTTTTTTTACAGCATATGTCCCTCAATATTTTCAAAAAATTTAATATTCTACATTTAATTCTATATACATATATGTATGGTCACTGGATTTTGTGGGGACAAGAATTACATATATTTATGGATAAGCACAAAACCAAAAGTATTCCTTATTTGTTTTAGATTTTTAAAAATCTGCATTACTTATTTATTTATCTATTACAAGAATGCATTTTGAATTTTCTAGGCCTTCATACATGAAATGTCATCTTTGTCTTATTACACTTTTGAATAGCTGTAAGATATAGGCCTCATGGTGCACGATGATTTTGTGAAGCACATAAGACTTTCCTCATAAATTGTATAAACATTTAATACAAAAATTACTTTAGCACCTCTATTTATCTTACTTCCCATTGCATTCTTCAAGTGTCCAATTCCATTTCCTAAATTTCTTTGTAAAATTCATACTAAGTTCTTTCTTGCCTGAGATATTTGCCTAGTGCCACACTAAATCATATTTAATGTATTGACTTGAAATTCCTAAAAAAAGGGAATTGAATGGGATTGTTGGCTCAAACAACTCCATCAGTGAAAATTGGACTGGAATAAAAACTTCATTTGTTGAAATGCAATTTATCTCTGTCATAAAACGTAAGATGTTGTGACAGTGCTTCATTTACAAAATGCAAGGCAGTTCTATCCAGATAATTAAGTCGTTGTATGTAATGTTGCTAACAGGGAAAGAAGTAAAAAAAAATAAAGTAAATATGCATATGTGATGTCATCTTCAAGGAGGGATAAGGCTGAGATGCCATTAATATTATCCATAGTCAGAAGCTTGTTACTATCTGATAACTAAAAGATTCAATCTCTAAATAATGTAATATGTATAGAAAGTTGCACAATTCAAATTTTCCCAGAAATCAGATTTCTGTTCTGTGAGCTAACAAATACTTAAATAAAGTTACAAATATGGTGTTTATCTTAAAATGTGCTGACTAAAAAAGAAAGTGTACATTTTTACTATAAAAAACAAATTTTTTCCACTGATAGTTTCTTTTGTATCCTGAGAAGTAAAAAAAAAAAAGTTCATATTGATTTAAGAAAATTCCTTAGCACCTTTAAAAATCCAAAATCAGGGTGCCTGCGTGGCTCAGTAGGTTAAATATCTGCCTTCGACTCAGGGCATGATCCCAGGGTCTTGGGATCAAGTCCCCCGTCTGGCTCCCTGCTCAGCGGGAAGCCTGCTTCTCCCTCTCTTGCTTCCCCTGCTTGTGCTCTCTCTCTCTCTCTGTTAAATAAATAAATAAAATCTTCAAAAAAAATCTAAAATCAAAAACTTTATTTATTTATTTATTTTTTTAGCAATAATGATTTCCTAACTTGTGGTGGATTAGGCTAAATCATCATGTTCTTCATTAGAATGAAATTCAGATTCATTTACAGTAATAAGTATTAAAATCAACTAAATCAGCACATTCAGAAGAGTATCGGCTCTACTGACTGGATTGAGATAATCTACAGAAAGGATTTACTTTCTATACATTAGTTTTCTGTACATGTGTTGTTACATAGACATAGGATTGGATTTTCACACCAAAATTACTTACCTACCCCCACTCCAAATGAACCCAAATCTACCTCTCTTTACTCTTTTTTTTATTTGTTTTTTACTTGATGCCCAAGCTAATCTATATTTCTAATGAATGAATATCATGCCTTAATATGATTGTATATTTTTATCTAGCCAAATTTTTACTTGTAAATAAATTTTTTTCAATTTAGACAGAACTATGTACCCATATTTTTGAAATTTGTTGAGATGATTTCTTAATGGTTGAATGAGTCACTTTTCAATTCTTTGGTTTCATTGTCAAATTGATCTTCATATAGGCTATTTGCATTTTCCTTGCCAAAGGCAGGTGGTGTGGGACTGCTTAAATCCTAGCAAATTGGCCAACAAAAAATTTGACCAAACTTTTATAAACCTTGCCAATCTAATTTTTGTAACCTATCACATGTATTTTATTATAACAGCATATTGTATAGGATATAATTTCAAAAATTTACTATTTAATATACAATGTATATGTTTATAATATATTTACATATTTGATATTTGATTTACCTTATCACTATTATGTATATTTATTTCTTCTTAGAAAATTCAAAAATAAAACTAATTTACAGTACCTTTGTATTCTTTGTATTGTGAATTCCTAGGGAATGTTTTCCTCCTATCTTTTTCCTCCTATGTTATTTTTTGTCCAGTTACCTTGCAAGAGCTTTTGTTGCCGTTTCCCAGTTAAGAAGTGGTTAAATAAGACTGAAGCTTAGGGGCGTCTGGTGGCTCAGTTGGTTGAGTGGCTGCCTTCGGCTCAGGTCATGATCCTGGAGTCCCGGGATCGAGTCCTGCATCGGGCTCCCTGCTCACCGGGGAGTCTGCTTCTCCCTCTGACCCTCCCCTCTCTTGTGCTCTTTCTCTCGCTCTCTCTCTCAAATAAATAAATAAATAAATCTTAGAAACAAACAAAAAAGATTGAAGTTTAAATAAGATGGGAATTTATTTCTCTCTCCCAGAAAAGATGAAAGATACAAAGCTTTCATGACATCCCTCTTCCAGAGTCATTCAGTAACTCCTCTCCTTTTGGAACACAATGTTAATATTTCTAGTCTGGGAGCCTTGTACCCACCCTCTGTGGGAGAGAGACCAAGAGGAAGAGATGGAAGGGATAGCCCCACTGTTCTAAGAGGAAAACCTCTGGAAGCTGCCACAGCTGCCCTTCCTGTAAGTAGGCAATTCTTTAATTTTCTTTTTTGTTGTTGTGGTTGTTGTTGTTTTTGTTTTTTTAATTCTTTAACTTTCTGACCTCTGGTTTTAGAAATATAAAATGTGTCTACATCCCAAAATTAAAAAAAAAAAGACTACCTCAAATATGTTAGCAGTTTAATAATTCTGATATGAACTAAAATCCATCTGAAATCTGTCGCCATATGGGGAGGAGACAGGGACTCAGCCTTCATCTATATGGTCTTAGCACCATTTATTAAACAATGCAGTCTTTCTACAACTGGCCCTGAATGTCATGGCTATGCTGCCTTGCTTTCACACCCATATTTGAGCTGGTCACCTGGGCTTGCTTGCTTTCTTTTTTCTTCTTTTCCACTTGGGCTTTCTTTTCCATTTTGTCATGTCATAAACACCATTAGGGACTTGACTGAGAGTACATTAAATTTCGTGTTTTTAACACAAGCTTCAGAAATAAATTAAGGCATGGCTGTAGCCAACTCTGCTGCATTCTCTGGTTCTACTTTCCATTTCGGTTCATGCTTAGCTCTTCTGTCTGAACGAGGTCATCAGAGAGGCTTATGCAGGTTTCAGCAGACGGTGGCCACAATGAAGGCTCTGAGCCCTTTAACTAGTGTGTGACTGCTGGCAGTTTTATTTCTCACCCCTGCCTCTCGCCTTTGCATCCCACACTGGGGGAAGCTGGCAAGCTGACTGGGAGGCC